TCGGCAGGCCCTTGAGGAGGAAGAAGCCAAAGAACAAAAGCTTCTTGAAATGCAATCTGCACGGAATGCTCTTGCAGCAGCGGTCTCATCGGGGGACATCAATCGATTGCAAGATGCGTTGCAGCGTGGTGCTTCCGCGGGGTTGGAGGACTCCGAGTTGGATGCTGCCAGAGAAGCCCTGGAAAGGTGTGAAAGAAGAGCTTCTGCTCGTGCAGCTCTGCAGGAGGCCCTGAAGAGTGGAGCTTCTTTGGATCAGATCCATGAGAGCCTTCGGAAGGCCGAAGCCCTCGGTGGGAGTGGAAATGAAGCAGATGCACTGCTCATTGAAGCAGTCAAGAAGAAGGCAGCACAAGAGCAGGCAAAGAAAGACCTGGAAGAAGCACTTTCGTCAAACGATGTGGAGAAGATCCGGCAAGCGCTGCTCAAGGCAGGTGAGGCGGGTTTGAGTGCCAATGTGTTGCAAGATGCGATCGCTGAATTGCAAAGACTGGAGCGAAGGGCGGATGCCCAACAGAAGCTGCAGCACGAACTAGAAGCTTCTAGAGCGCATAGCACCGATGTGGAGAAGCTTCGAGGTGCTATCGAAGCTGCCAGCGAGGCAGGTTTGGATGTCAGTGAGGCAGAGGCTGCACTAAGGGAAGTTGAGAGGCGAGCAACAGCACAACGGCGATTGTCGAATGCCATGAGTTCCAGCCCGGCGAATTTGGATGCCTTGAGAGCAGCCTTGGAAGAGGCCAAGGAAGCTGGGCTTGATGGAGACGTCGTCAAGGAGGCGGAAAAAAGGCTTTCACAAGAAGAAGAGCGTGCGAATTTGACGCGGACTTTGCAGAAGATGGGCACTGCAACTCTCGCAAAGGACGCGACAAGCCTTGGCCTGGATGCTACGAGCCCTGTCGGTCCCTTTGAGACATTGCGTCCCGACGCAGGCGATGAACCTGACAGAATACACACCGCTGTGGCCCTGCGCTCAGTCGAGACACCAATCTCATTCTTGGCTTCTTGCAATTCACCCTGATTTCCCCCTGTTTTTCCATTTTCTTCCATGTATATCTGTGAAAAGTGGCGAGGTCAAGTGCACCCCGACCTCGCAAACGATCATCGCGGAGAAGGCGGAGTACATTTTCAAGAAGGCCCCAGTGGACGATGCCACGCCTCATGAAGACCTGATGAGGACCTTGCGACAACGCATGCGAAAGGTGAATGTCTCTCCTGCAGAAGCCTTGTCCCAAACAATGCAGGTCGGGTGCCACCCGCCCGGCCAAAATGGGTGAAACACGTTCGTGACACCTTTTTCTAAAGTTTATAAATGCACTACTTTAAAATCAATGTCACGCGCAATCGTAGAGGTGATAACATGATGATATGGTCCACTTTCAGGTTTAAGGCGGATCCGGATATTGTCAGCTGTGTTGATGTGGCCGAATGCGGCTCAATGTGCAACCCCTTGAGGTGCCAGCTATTGCCACTTCTCGTGGTGATGGGAGCACACTACCACCCGTAGATTCAGATGTGGCCCAGGCCTTCGCAGAGCAACTTCAGATGTCTCTATCCACCGCCAGGACCATCAAATTCTTGCAAGATGTGGATCAGGCCTCAGGTGGTGAGGGCAACAGTGAGGTGTCCGTGCCCGCTTTCCTCGATGCCTTAAACGGATCAACTGGACGAAGTACTGGGCCGTCTGGTCCGACAGCTCCATCTGGGCCGTCTGGAGGTCCAGGTGACACGTTGTTCACAGGGCCTCATGCGGCGGCAGCAGCACGAGAGGAAAAGAAGAGGCAGCTGATGCAACAGAGTCGACCACAAGAGAATTTGCGGCAGCTGGTGCTCCAGCAACGGGTGAGCCAACTGAGCCGAAAGGAAGCTCAGCTGGTGACGAATTTGCGAGAAGCGTTGTTCGAGCGGCGCTCCAACATGCAGAAGATGTTCAAAAGTGTTGACCTGAATGATGATGGAGTTGTGACACTAGAGGAGTTTCTTCATGCTCTTGAAGGTGCTGGAGTTGCTGTGGGTCATGAGATCGATCGTGCTCGCGCACAGGTCACCGAAGAAGAAGCTGCACGCATGTTGGCGTATTTTGATCGCAGTTGCACCGGAACGCTTCAATACAATGAGTTCATGCGACTCCTACAGGGCACACTGGACTTGACCGATGAGGCTCCATGGGATCCCGAGCTGGCCAGACGCATCCCGGACATTGGCGAATATCGAGGCACATGGGCGATGGCCTCCGACCTAAGAGCGATGGCCTCCGACCTAATAGCCATGGCCTCCGACCTAAGAGCGATGGCCTCCAACCTAGTAGCGATGCTTGATTTCTTTTTTTGGTAGTTGTAGCTTCCCATAGCGGACCCTCAAGGTGGGCCAAAGCCAGCCCTCAGTGGGACGCAACTGGTTCGAGCAGTCTAGGACTGAGCTGATTTGGGAGGTAGCGGTGTGGTTTAAAAAATGTCCATTTATTGGCTATGCCTTTGACAAAGAAGAAAGGAACGACAAGGAGTAGTCTACAGTCTAGAGCCTAAAGAGTAAGAAAAGGTGAGACAAGAGAAACAATCAAAGGGAAAGAAAGGAAGAATGGGTCAAAAGCAAAGCAATACAGAAAAGAAAGGACAAACTATACCAGGACCTTCCAAGGGGTTATAGGTAGTGCGGGGTAGTCCATTGGACACCCCTTGGAGGGTCCAGGTATGAGTGCCAAATGGTTCTTTTGGAAGTGGTGTGAGCGCTTTTGCCCTAAGGCGGCAGGGCTGAGGGAGGACTCTGACGAGCGGCAGGTTCAGCTTCAGCCTCAATCGCAGCAGCTCACGCTTTAGTCAAGCTAGAAGCGATGGCCTCCAACCTAATAGCAATGGCCAATGATGGCCTCCAACCAAACTGTGGTGAATGACTATGAGCGACTGAGCTGAGACGGCTTGTTGTCATCGTTCTTCAAGAGCCTTTCTTGGCGTGAGGAATGTTTTCGCAAAATGGGACGTGAACAACGATGGAAAGATATCAGAGAGGGAGTTCCTCTCTGTTCTCCGTGGCCAGGTTGCAGTTTGCTTTTTTGTTGACCATTTTCTTGTTTTCTTTTTTTCATTTCCATATTCATGATTTTTCCTTTTTCATCAGATCGTTTCTTTTTCTCCTCTTTTCCCTTGGTGTCTTTAACGCATTTAAGAAAGAACATAGATGAACGCCACAGGAAAGGTCGATCCCAAGATCCGCGACCAGGCGAGGAACTGTTTGGAGTGAGGAATCACAATCAGAGGGTGAGGAATCCTGATGGCCTCCAAGAAACAGAAAGAAACAAGAAAAAACAATACTTTTCAGAAACCTACAAGCAATTTCCTCCACCCTACGAACGCGATGGCCTCCAGTGTCTCCAGTGTCTCCATCGACTATCATCGACTCACGAGAGTGTTTCACGAAGCGATCGACCGGTGCGTTTTGGACCTCGAACATCATCGCGGAGTCAAGTGCGCACCCGGCCATACTTGCCACGCTATGGCGAGACGCCGTGAAACGGTTTCGTCCGCGCTGGCTCGGCAGGATGTAAGGCGTTTGTTCGAACAAGCCGATTGCAATGGAGATGGCGTCGTGGTGCCTTGGCATATCGATCTGGGCCTTTTTGTCTTCTGCCAACTTTTGATTCTTGCTCCTAGTTAGTAAGGCCAGGAGCCCCTAGTAGCGTCCTTTGCTCCTAGTAGCGATGCCAGGAGCCCCTAGTAGCTTCTTGTTCCTATAGTTTTGCTCCTAGTAGCGATGCCAGGAGCCCCTAGTAGCTTAGCGATGCCAGGAGCCCCTAGTAGCTTCTTGTTCCTATAGTAGTAAGGCCAGGAGCCCCTAGTAGCGTCCTTTGCTCCTAGTAGCGATGCCAGGAGCCCCTAGTAGCTTCTTGTTCCTATAGTAGTAAGGCCAGGAGGCTTTATAGGAGCTTTTCTGTTCCATTGCGTCAAGGACTACCATGAGTTTGTCTCGTGGCTCTTCCAATCCGCTTAAGTCTCTCTTTCGGCATTTTTCCGCCGCTGCCGTGGCTCTTCCGGTCGCAAGACCGGCGCCGTCCGCGCCCAAGGCGCTTTCAACCTTTTAGCTATTGGTGCTGTTCAATGGTGCCACTCATTGCAAGATATCTTTGATCGGTATATATATTGCACATTTCTGTAGAAATATTGTCGGAACCATGAATCGGTCTATGCGAACTTATCAAACCATACAAGCACTAGCCACTAGCTTTTCAGAGGCTCTATCTCGCGAGTTTGCCGAAGGCATGTAGCTCTTGTGCAGGAGTCTTGATTGAAGAAAAGCTTCCGTCAGAAATAAGGGCGGGGTAGGCTGGGGTGTCGAAATATGGCGCCATGATGAGCAAGAAGATGACGAGGGAGATGCACTCCTCAGCTTTCAGCTCAAGAGTCCAATGAACTCCGACCGCACCAATCGGCCCAAAGACTTGTGCAGTCCTTGTGTTCAGAACCCAGAACTGCCTTTAACATCCTTTAACTGCCTCCACTATCCTGCCCTTGTAAGTTGTGTGCGATGGAAGAAGACGTCCGAGATCCCTCCAATCCGGTTCGCAGCTCAGAAACCATGAGCATGTCTTGCTTGAAACCAGCGGCTTTTGGTTTCGCGTTTACGGCCGTTGTCACGTTGCGAATCCCTCCACCAGGTGCGAGTGCTCGAGCTTTTTGCTGGTATCGGGGGCATGCGCTTGGCTCTGTCGTGCCCTGCTCCATGCTGACTTGCAAAGCTTCAGCAGGAACATCTTATATATTTCAGCAGAGGTACATAGCTGTTGCATGCTGTTGCTATTCATAAGCAAAGTAGAACGAAGAAATAGAACGAAGAAAGAAGGACAACACAGGTCTTTTTGAAGAAATCAATTAGAGAATGTGCAAAAGAATGAAACAAAACACTCTTTCACACACTTGTCTCAGATGGTCTAAAAGCGTAAAGGATGGTTTCGAGGGTCTTTTTGTGTCCGACCGAAGGGTGGACTTGGTCCATTCATCGCAGCTGGCTCAGCTCAGTAGGTCTTCGTTTGTAGCCAGGCTGTCTGGTCCCAGACTCGTCCGCCATGCCGACGGGCGGATACACCATGTCTGCGCAGAGCAAAAATGCCCCTCGGTGAGAGATTCTACTTCTTAACTCTGCTTCTAGGTTGGAGGCGCCATTGCCATTAGGAACCAGAAGCTACTAACAAGGGCATCGCAACTAGGAGATACTAGGAGCAATCCTTGCTACGAACCAGGCGCTCCTGGCATTACTACAGTAACACGCTTCGCTACGATGTCGGCTTCCGGAGTTCGTCTGGCGACGCCAGGCCGTCTTTGGATCCTCGGGTGTGACGTTTCCCACCCGTGGAGCTCGCTTGGCGAACGCTGGGATGCAACAGATGACGCCGCGGGTCGGGCCGGGGCCGCAAACGACTCTTCAGCCACAGATCAACACCCGTGGTGAATACGAAGATGTGGAGAACACCTTCAAATTTTGGGTCTCTGGCTCTGAAGCAGGGCGGAAACTGCTATGGTCTGCCTGGGAAGCAATCGATTACAATGGAAATGGGCTAGTCAGCCTTGCGGAGATTGACAAATGGGTGGTGGAGTCCTACCCAAAGCTGAACAACAAGCCAGCCCCAAGCTCAGCTTGAGAATGCTCGAACACAAGGGGGCATAGGGCACGCAATCATTGTCATGCGTCAAGCAGTACGATCATGTCATATTACATGTAGAATAATCTTTAAATACCTTAATGTCATGTATGAATGACATTTTAACACCACATCGACGAATTGGATGCAAGATGATGCGAGGCTTTGATGCGCGCAGACAAGTCGAGCGATTTGGACCACAACAGCTACGTCACCAAGCGTGAGTTCCCGGTTTTGTTGAGGTGCACCGGCAGGGCTGGCAGACTGAAGCCATTTTGATACACATTCAGAATAATTATGACAATTTGTTTGCGAAAGATAGATCAGGTCCTACAAGTAGGCCCACTATGGGCCTTTCTTTCATGGCATCTCCTTCTTTTCCACTGCCTTTGCGGCGAAAGCTTTTACTTTTACACCTAATTTTGTCTGGCCGACGTGCCGAAAGAGTTTTCTTCTTCTTCGGTATTTCCCTAGCTTTTTCACAGCAGAAGCATGTTCTCGAAGCTTCGAGAACGGTGCAGTGGCGGGATGTGATTCTCAGTTCATGGCGCCACTTTGGCGCGCTGCGCCTGCCAGGAATGTGATCTATTTCAACAAAGTTTGGACAGCGACTTGGAGACCATTGGAGACCTGGAAGTGAGAAGTGAAAAAGAAATAAAAAACTGGAAGAAACTAAGAGATGAACGGGGTAGACTTTAGCATGTTTAGAAGAGGGCCTCCATTTTCGTCTTTGTTTAGTTTCATTTCTTTTCACTTCTTCTGCCTACTTGGAGACTTTGAGACTGATTAGACTCAAAGAGACCTGGAGGACACATGGACGTCTCTGAGCTTTTCAGGTCTTCGAAACGATGGATGTTGATGCCGATCGCCGATTGGCTTTCCCAGAATTTCGCCAAGGGCTGTCCTTGCTTGGGATGACCTCGGCTGCTAAGCAGGCAAAGCGATACGTCTTAGAAAGCTGGACAGATTGCCATTGAACACACTTTTGGAGGACTTTAGGTCTGAGCCAGTATCCATCACCACCCATAGCTACTTGCAACAATGCCTTCCTTATGGCCTTGATCCAAAGCCCGATTTCCGTGGCGCAAACGGTCAAGCACCATTCGTCCTAGTTCGTTCTCATCTCTGTGTGTCGTGCCACCAAGGTTGTGAATCCCCGTTCCCTGTTTGACAGCCTGGACAGGCAGGTCTCTCTTCGACATTTAGGGCACTTTTAGGTTGGAGGCCATTGCTACTAGGGTGGAGGCCCATCGTGAGTAGGTTGGAGGCCATTGCTATTAGGTTGTTCCTCAGAAAGCTTTGCAGGAACCGCGGTGGGCTGGTGCTTTTTGATGAGTTCTGTCGATGGGTGGCCTCCGTTGGACACCAAGCTGTCCGTTGGGACTCGTTCTTTCTCCGTTGTCGTTGTGATGGGCTTCGAAGCAACGAGTCGAGGTGCAGTGCCCTGTGGATGGAGCCGTTTATGCTCCACAAATTACCATGGCTGGATCGCCCTCTCCGAAAGGCCATCACAAGGCGTCGTCATGGGCTTGACACACGACCACAAAGAAGGCAAATAGAGGAGGACTAACTCCTGGAGTAGCCCCGGGCAAGGCTTGAAGCTGAACCCAAGACAAGGGAAGAAAGCTCTAAGCATCCTTCCTTAGGAAAGGCAGCACCCTTTCTGCAAGCTTCCTACAAGCACTAGGGTGGAGGCCATGGCTACTAGGTTGGAGGCCATTGCTACTACAAGCTTCCTGCAAGCACTTTTGTTCGCTGCCAGGGATTGGTTCAACACAGTCACTCTGTGAAGACACAATTGGAGTGACCAGGCTACATGAGGGCTGCAGAGGCTAATAGAGGCTAGAAGGCCCTTCAAGGGCTCTTCGAGCTGGTTTAAGTGTTGAAGTATTTGATATTGGCTATTGGATTGCGTTGAATTCGAAGAACGCCGAGCCGCAGATCTGTCCGCTAAAGCGGCCTCGGGGGGGGGGTCTGGAACAATACCTGCGTAAGATCTGCAACGGCATCAGAACGCCACTCTCTCTATAAATATATAGTAATTCAACACTTCTATGATCTTCTACCTTACCTTCCGGTATGTCCTCTCAAGGCTTCTGCACTGCTCCCCAAGGAATCAGTTCGAAGTTGCAGAGAAGAAGATTCAAACTTTGCTGAAGGAGCCTTGTCGGGCGGCAAACAAACGGGTTTTCCATCGGTGTAAGCCTGTAAGCAGTCCTCCAAAGGTGACCTTCCCTGCCTGTTCTTGTAAACAATGTTTCTTAGTCCTGTTGTTGAAGCGTTATGTCCGTTATGTGTTGCCATTCTTTTTTGTATGTTTTTTTTGAACGTTCGGGTTCGCCTCTTCGCAATTGTTCTTGGCCATGTCCTTGTTGTTGGCCGTTCGAGGACACCCGTCAACTCAATCAGCTATGGCGAACCATGGCCGCTCGGCGGGGGGAGATACAGCGGGAAGTGTGCGATGCTGCGTGGCATCACTTCGAACACTTCGGGCCTGGAAGGTGCTGCAAGTCTTCTTCCTTTTTTTCCTTCTGAACGTCGGGCCTCACGCCCACCTCAGACATGTCCAGAGAGTGTTTGTTGTTCTCCTTTTTTTGCGGATACACTTTGATAATCATTGATACAAGTCCGTTTGAAAGTTCTATTGGCTGCGCTCTTCAGCGCCGGGGGTTTCTCCAGTGCCTAGCCAAGGACTACAATGGCAATGGGCTGGTGAGCTTGGCAGAGATGGACGGGTGTGTGACAGCCACTTGGTGGAATTGAAGACCTTAGTGGCCTTTGGTCTTTGGCGACCTTTGGTGTTTTTCAGCAGTTGGAACCGAATTACACCCGGGAAAATTAACATGGAACCTGACAACCACTGGGTTGTAGAGGAAAATAGTCTTCCAAAGGTCAATTTTCAGGTTCCATGTTAATCTTCCCGTGTGTAGTTGTTCCCCTTCAGTGTGGAGCGCCTCGTTTCGTGGGGCCTGGCATTCGCAAAGCCCTGCCTTTGGGGCTTGCGAGGGTGCTCACGGAGGTCTTCTCGTCAGGAAACGTTCTTTTTTTCAGGAACCACTTTCTAGAGTTGGTAGTGCTGCGAGGTAAAACACGTGATCTGTAGATCAAGACCAAAAGGCCCCGAGGGGCAGTGGGAGGACTCATTAAGCCATTCTTAGCCGGAAGTAGGTGGCACCAAAATTCAATCAGAGACTAATAACTTGGAGAATTTAATACTTCCGCTTGTGGGTGTGTGAGTTGAGTTCGGCATTGAGGAAGAGTTCAAAGAGTTGAACAACAAGCCCGCACTGATGCAACTCTGCTGCAACTCATTTTGTCCATCTCAGATTCATTGACTCTGTGCCTTTGCCATTGGCTTACAAGGCGTGCATACAAAGCCACTCTGCGCAATGCAGATGGATATGTGCATAAGATCCTGAGAATGCAAACTGAGCAGGTTGGAGGCCATCGCTAGCCTAAGAAGCAACATGGAACCGAGCATCACCCAAGCACCGAGCGCCTTTTCCTTTGTCTTTGTTTCTACTAGCGATGTCCTCCAAGCCACCAGCGATGGCCTCCTATAGGTCTGACTGGTTTGCTACGAAACTCTTAGCCCGCACAGTAGTTCATCCAAGGACTGACTTTCGCGTGCTTTTGCGCAACATGCCCACTGCTCAGCAAACCTGTTGCGGTTTTGGTTTCAAACCACATGCAACAGCTGACATGTGTTTGCGTGTTTGACGCGTGTGTTTGTGACCCAGGTTCTACTTCAACAAACTCTACACCCTTTATGAGACCCTTGGGCAGTCAATATCCCCCTGAGCTTTCATGTTTGAATGCGGTCCTGCACTCGAATTTCACGTGTTTCATCCTTCTTTCTAAGGATTGTTGACCATGACCATGATCGGCGGATGGACAGCACTTGCTAGGGGCATTGTTTACATATTTGATCTATTTTGCCAGGAATGCATGATCATGATGAACAGGAGAAAATCACAACCTTCTGGAAACTATCTAAATGTCGCCCCGCATTGTTAGCCTAAGAACTAGTTTTCGCCGCCCCTTCCGAACCCTATCCATCCAAGATGATCGGAGTTTCCTTCGCAGGACTTGACGGAGTTTCGCTCGGGAGTGTCCTTCTTGGGTTTGAAGCTAACACCTTCACAAGCCTTTGACGAGTCGCTCACTCAGTGTGCTCGGCTCGTAGTCGCTTCACATGGAAAACCACGGACTACACCGGACGATCACCGTAGCTTTTTCGGATGTGCGGACCGAGGTTCAATTTCATGGAGCCTTTGGTCGCATCTGACATGTCCATGGAGCTTTTCTTGTAAAAACTGTGCAAGAGTGGTGGTAGAAATCAAGAAACATAGAGATCAGGATGCGAATGGAGGTGGCATGGTGCTGTTCGATGAATTCTGCAAATGGGCAGCGGCGAAGAAATTGCTACTCGGCAATAACTATAACCGAGAAGATCAATTGGTTGTGACACTTCTTCTAGATATTTTTAGAAGAGACATTGATTCCAGCACAAACGCGCAGATTGCCAAAATCATACAGTGGGTCTCACGGTCTGGCAAAAGAGAGCAAGAGGGAGGAGGGGAAGACATTCTATGGTGCTATTTTGGCAATATGAAAAACATCAAACCTCCATATGAAGGGGCAGGTGACTGCGGCCAATGTGTACTCCAGTTGCCAAGGCCGGTGGAATGAAGAATCGGGAAAAGAGCGCGTTGCGCTTCCTTCGACAAAACTTTGAGCTGAAAATCAGCTCAAAAAGACTTTGAATTCCAATTTGCCCACTACGAGGCAAATTGCCAGGCGTCCCAAAAGGGCAACGCCTGTCACTGTGAATTGGCTTGGCTATCACTGAGAACCGAGCTTCCGGAAGAAAACACCCAAACAACGAGTCCTTCTCGCACGGCTCAGGAGGTTCTGTCGTAGCGTTGCACTCCAAACGTCGCGATGTCATGTTTGGTGACGACGTGTGTGGCAGGTATGCCGGCATGGCAGTCGACACCGTTGCAGTGGAAGTGAATCAGCAGGCGCCATGTTTGGCACCCAGTGTGCTAAAAGGGTCCTCTCGTGGCACTAGGCGTTGGAGATCTATTCCAGTAACTTTGGTCCTGTCCTTGGTTGGTGACACTTCTTTCTGCGGATTTCGCTGTCGCCGTGTGGTGCAGAGGTCCAGAGAACGTGGTGAACAGAGATATTTGCAGTCGCCATCTGAGCCATCACCGACACCAAAGTCAGGAGATTGACATGAGTTGAAGAAGGGTGTGGGTTTTTTTCATAGGGAGACCCCCAACCCAATGGCTTTTGGTTCGTTTAGAGTAGTTCCCATCTTCCAGGGTTCTGGTCGGAGGTCTCCCTATTGAAAACATACACCCTAGTAGTTTCTTGTTACTACTAGTCTACTAGTAAGGCACTTGTTACTAGAAGCGATGCACTTGTTCCTAGTAGCTTATTGTTACTACTAGTAAGGCACTTGTTCCTACTAGCGATGCACTTGTTCCAACTGGATCTTCCTTCGACGTCGGAGCCACCGAAGACGCTCCGAGGCCTTACTCCACAATGGCACCTGGGCAGCACGTCGCGCAACGCCGTGCGGTGCCACGACGTGTCCGCTTGATCGTGGTCTCTCGGTGTCACGAAGGTCCTTCTGTCTTCTCTTCAAATACCCTTTGTCACACACACACCAACAACCCTCCATGGCAGCAGAAATCCCAGGAAAAGAACACAAAAAACAAAAGAAACACCATCACAACAGACAAAGAAATCGAATGTGCAGCATCTCTTAGACGTGACTGGGCGACTGAAGCAGGTTCGACCGGCAGCAATGCCAAATTTGGACCATGTCTCCGTGCTGCGCTCAGAAGTTTGAACCGTGGAGCGTACCAAGGGAAGTGCTTGCTGGCTGCTAGATGCTATCAAAGGCCAATGAATATATACGGTAAATCTAAAACGACCAGTGAATTGCTGAAACAATGCTGTGGGGGTCATTTGAGGTTTTCTGTCCGATTTGTGATGAAGTGTTCGTTTGCGCCGATGTCGTGAACGACGGTCACTTCATCCGAATAGAAGTCCTCACTTCACCTTGCATCCTTGCCACGTTTTGACACCCTACTTTGCAGTTCGTGGGTCAGGGCAACCCCACATACAGCTTGAAACACCCATTGCAGTGCGCACGCCAACCCGCAATTGCAATCCCCCCAGCGGCAACTGCGACAGCCAGTGCCCTTTTGACACCTCGAGCGCCTATTGCCGGCCGTCCAGAAGCACCGGTCACAACCAGTTCACAGAGCGCTTCCGGCCCCAAAGACGTTGGTTACTCTCATATGCCTTTCAATCAGGTGGATATGGTTGAACCATGTTGAACCTTCGCAACATCCCAGCACTACATTCTATTCACGGACAGTTGCCGCAAGTACTACACACCGGAAGAGTATGTTCCATGAAAAACACACCTTTATCACTCGTTTTGAGGCCTTGTCAGCCCTACACCAGGCTGCACAGCCGGGCTGTGCCAAGCTGCACCATGCTGTGCCATGCTGCGCCTGTGTGTGCAGGGGTAAATCCGCGTTGAACACCCCGCCAGGCAGGGCCAAATCAAGGATGCAGAGGACTGGAACGAGCTGCAGAGCTGTCACGTAAGGCTTTTACGTGTCGCTGTTCTTTTTTGTGTGTGTTTATCTTGTTATATATTTGACTGTTATTATTGTAATGTTATTCTTTAAGACCTTTTCACAATTCTATTTTGTCATGTTTTCCTTCCTTGCTTTCTTTACTCCTTGCCGGTTCTGTACGTTTCGCTTCTGTTTGCTTCGCATGCTTTTTCTTCCCAGGATCCAAGAGCAAAGCCCTTGCTTCACATCATCAAGATGCTGCAGGAGGCCGCTAAGTGTTGCAATGGGTTGAGGCCATCGCTTCGAGTCCATTGCTTCTATATTGGAGGCCATTGCTAGTAGGTTCTTTAAAAGGACCTCATTAAACACTCTCAGGTCAACAGCCCGCCCGAAGCCATCGTCTTGGAGCGTCTTGCCTCAAAAAACTCCAGATCCATTTTGGCCTCCCACGGCACGACGATCAAACGACCGGGCTTTGTTTGTTGGCCAAAGCTGCGGGTGGCGTGGCGTTTGCAAGGAATGTCCGGAACTTTGAGCTCTCGGAGTCATTTCTGCTTCTCTGTGAGGCCAACCTTCGAAAGGATGTGATGCAAGTGGTGTTCGAGACACACCGGTTGAATTGTGAGTAATGTGAGGCTTTGAGAGCCAGGCAGTATCACTGGAGAAGTTTCTTGCTCAGAGCTGACCTCAGTCCCTGAACTCGTGCGCTTCTTGGCACCATTTTTCGATGAAAAATCACATTTTGGTCAAAGATCGTGAAGCGCATGAGGCCCCCGACAATTTGGATTTCCTAACTCGCGCTTGAGATTTTATTTGGTCGAAGACTTGGAACAATCGTCAGCCGAAACGCATATAAACGTCTTGTCAGTTCCTTGACCTTTGGAGAAGTATCAAAGTCTGCTTGCGAGCCATTGCGAGCTCAATCTGAGATCTGGCCTGTCAAGATGCCACATCTGCTGTAAAGCGATAAGGAAACAGCATCAACAATCCCCTGTCCCCTTCTCTACACATGCCGCCGGTGCCTCTCAACGACACTCCAGGGTCCTTCCTGGGCTCCAAAACGGCGACGAAGGGACTGTAACCTAAAAGCACGACAATGGTTCAAGACTGGAAAGAAAGAAAGGAGACCTATGCACTCTGGAGTTGACCAATACAATGTTGGAGCATCAGATGCAACATGTCAGGTTGGTGATTGGTGTTTAAAGAATGCCTTTCAGAAGGCCTGCTAGCTGCTAGCATTGGCGGAGACCATGTCATGCGTGTGTGTGGCCATTGATTTTGTTTGGGGGGACATCGTGCTTAGGTTGGAGGCCATCGCTTCTAGGTTGGAGGCCATTGCTAGTGTGGGGTGTCTTTGTGTCTGTGTGTGTGTGTGGAATGCCACGCCTGATCCCTCACTTTCTGCAGCAGTCCGAACTACCATGACGCAATCCAAGGGCTATTTATTAAACTAAACAATCCTATTTTGAGTTACTACTAGCAATGGCCTCCACCTAATAGCAATGGCCTCCAACCTAGAAGCGATGACCCCCAACCTATGAGCAATGGCCTCCACCTAATAGCAATGGCCTCCAACCTAGAAGCGA